CTCCCACCTGACCTTGAAGTCACAAATAAGACTTTTAAGGCCACAATTTATACTGAAAAAAAAATCCTTCACATTTTAATAAGAGATTCCCAAAGTCAAACTTTGTGCTTTCTTTTTCTTTTGTGTTACTGCGAGTTTGGGATTCAATTAATGTGACGGCTGATGGGGCTCAGAAAGTGATACCTGGTTGGAAGCAGCACTTAAATCAGAACCAAGCTTGTTAAAGTGGATCCTTCAACCATTATATGAAATCATATTATTACCATCTTATCAATGACAGTTCAGGCAACATTTTCAGACGAGACATTTTTACGTGGAGATATAGCCGTTGGAATGAATAACGTAATGAGCCTAGCATTTTATGCTGATATTATACTGATGCACAGTCTTACACACTTCTGTCACCAAGTTAAAATGCGTGTGTATTGAACTTGTATTTGTACACGACAGATGACCTGAGGCACTCATTCAATCTCTGGTAATCTGTCAAGCGCCAAAACGCTTCAGTTTGAATTTGGACTCTAATTGGCTGCCAAACTACTACGAAGTGTGAAAAATGCAAAGACGAAACTCCATTGCAACCTGACAACCCCGCTCTACTCACCGCAACAAACGGTCTAAATGCCAGTTTTTTATTTCATTTACAGAAATGAAGGAGAAGCAAAAAGAATAAAATGACATCAAACACGTTACAGCGGCAATAGGAGTAAGTTCAGTCATTTTTAAGGCATGAAACCAATAAAAGTGAAGCCCGTTCTCATAGATCACCTCCTCTGTCACCCCATGCATATTTTGAAGGCAAACCGCAAAAGAAGAGGCTCAGAGAGGAAACAAAAGGGAGGGAGAGAAAGAGAAGTAAACAACTGAGAGAGATCAATATGGCACTATTTCAGTAAATGTATGGAGTTGGTGGTTTAGACCAGTGTTTCCCAAATGTTTTTTTCTGGAGATCCATATTTTAAAAGTCACAAACCTTTGCGACCCAAGTCTTCTTCTTTTTCTTTCAGCTTTGTCCCTATTTTTTTTCAGGGGTTGCCACAGCGAATCATTGATTTCCATCTCTCCCTGTTCTCTGTATCTTCTACTCTGGCTCCAACTATCTGCATGTCCTCCCTCACTGCATCCATATATCTCCTCTTTGGCCTTCCTCTTTTTCTCCTACCTGGTAGCTCCATCTCTAACATTCTTCTACCAATGTATCCACTGTCCCTCCTCTCCACATGTCCAAACCATCTCAATCTGGCTTCTCTAGCTCCAAACCTTCCTGTCTGTGTTGTCCCTCTAATGACCTCATTCCTGATCCTGTCCATTCTTGTCACTCCTAGAGAGAATCTTAGCATCTTTAACTCTGCCACCTCCAGCTCCACCTCCTGTCTTCTGCCTATTGCTACCGTCTCTAAACCATACATCCTGGCTTTGCGACCCAAGTCAATAGGCATTATTTGTAAACTCCTGGGAAACATGATGCGAGATGGCCTCAAAAAACTCTTGCGACCCACCTGAGGGTCGCAAAACAGTCTAAACAATGGCTTAGATCTCAAACTATGCAGAACAAATCAAAGAGAACACTTTTGTGAGGTTGTGTGGCCGTCCTGGCTGATCGCTTGTCTCGTGTGAACTTGAGTTGAAAGTTGAGCGTTTAAAAAAACAAAACAACATTTGATTGAGTCTTTGATGTGGAAATGAGACAGTAAACCCACTGTGAAAGCCGTGTACTCTGTAGATGGCTTTAGATTACTTGGTCGTTTTGCAGCTGTTTTACAATATGGATGCAAAGAACAGCAAATTTCCTGTAGAACTTCTATGATTAATCTAAACTACTAGTGGGTGAGATTT